CACACACCAACGAGTTACGCATCTGTGGTTCACCTGGGGAAGAGAGAGAGAGAGAGAGCCAACAGGACATTCCAGCATTACCTGCCCTATCTAATGAGGCCCACACCTTCCTAGCACACCACAGTACTATCCCCAACTACTGTCAACAAGAGCAGTGTGTTGTGTTGACTGTGCGAACAAAAACAAAACAATAACAAGAGATTAAAATGACAGTAATAATAATAATAATAATAATAATAATAATAATAATAATAATAATAATAATAATAATAACACATCCTTTTCCTCCCTCTCCTTCTCCCCCTCTTTCTCTCCTCCTCCTGCCGCTAACCCCCCTCTTCCTCCCGCCGCTCCCCCCTCTTCCTCCCGCCGCTCCCCCCTCTTCCTGCACAGCCTCGCGCCACCAAGACAGGCACTGTGTGATAGGGGAACACCGTGGAAGACAAGGTAGATAAAACAAGTGATAAGCTGAAGGCCAGATAACAGCTGATGACGTGCACCGAGAGAGGAGAGAGAGACTGTGAGAAGGAGGGAGAGAGAGACACTGTGAGAAGGAAGGGAGGGAGAGAAGGAGGGAGAGAGAGAGAGACACTGTGAGAAGGAGGGAGAGGGGGAGAGAGAGACTGTGGGGAGAAAAAAAGAAAGGGGGAGGAGAGGGAGACGGGGTGAGGAGGAGACAGAAGGGTCAGGAAATAGGAAATGAAAGTGTAGAGAGAAGTTACCACACGACCGGGAGTCCACTACAACTGACTCACTCGCTCTCAAGGACTGGCCTACACCTGACTGACTGACTGACTCATTCACTCACCTCACCTTACCTCACCATCACCTAATTCATCCACCTAACCTCACCCACCTACATCCACCTAACCTCACCCACTGGTTATTATGATACAGGTACAGGTCACGATTCAGTTACAGGTACAGGTCACGATATAGTTACAGGTACAGGTCAAGGTACAGTTACAGGTCAAGGTACAGTTACAGGTCACGATACAGTTACAGGTAGAGGTCAAGATACAGTTACAGGTAGAGGTCACGATACAGTTACAGGTCACGATACAGTTACAGGTCAGGTCTGGATGCCTCTGCCCCTTCCTATCTTCCGTTCTGGAGTTATGTGAAGGATATGAGGAAACTAATGAAGGCTGTTGTGTGACCTTTGTGATGTAGACGTTTTGTATAAGTTTAAGGCCAATACGCTGTAGTTGTGTGGGAGGGGGTATACAGCACACGTATACATAGTTATTTACGGGCAGGTATACATGGATGCTCTTGAATTATAAACAAACTTCCGAATTACGATAACCATCCGAATTATGAAAATCTTTCTGGATTACGAAAATTTCCACAAGAAATAATGGAAAGCATCGTGTGTAGGTAGTCTCTCTCTCTCTCTCTCTCTCTCTCTCTCTCTCTCTCTCTCTCTCTCTCTCTCTCTCTCTCTCTCAGTGCAGGTTTTCTCGACCTTGATGAGTTAGGGAGGGAGGGAGGGAGGGTCCTGAAGAGCTCTGACCCACAACAAAAGGCTTCATCTAACCTAACCTACCTCCACCTAACTTAACTCCCTTCCCAATAAATCAGAGTTTCTCATCAACCTTAGCTCCGGTACGCGCCAGTTCTAACAGAGCCTGGGTGGGTTAGGTTAGGTATGCCAGTACTGAATAGAACATCAAGTCCCAAGACATCAGTTCAAACACAGCCTTAGTCCTAATGGGTCCTTATGTTAACAGACCCCACTTCTAACAGGCCCTAAATATACAGTATGTACCCTTCTACCGTCTGTACAGCCCTCCATTGTCTGTACACCCGTCTACAGACTGCAGGGCTCCGTACCGACACACCCAGCAGTGCGGGGCTGTGTAAAGTGACTGGACAGGTACCTACCCTGCCAGGGGGCCAGACTCACCTGTGTGTGTGTGTGAACCACCACTCACACGACCCCTTATACTGGTGTAGTGTAGCCGTCTGGCCATCACTGAGAGAGAGAGAGAGAGAGAGAGAGAGAGAGAGAGAGAGAGAAAGAGAGAAAGAAAAGAGAGAGAGAGAAAGAAAGAGAGAGAGAGAGAAAGAGAGAGAGAGAGAGAGAGAGAGAGAGAGAGAGAGAGAGAGAGAGAGAGAGAGAGAGAGAGAGAGAGAGAGAGAGAGAGAGACTCCATAACACCTGTACCAGCAATCACTCAACAACAAAAAGACAAAACAACACCACACACAATACACACGAGGCCCACCACACCTTCCCCGTCCGTCTGTCTATCCATCTATCTGTCCGTCCGTCCGCCGTCCGTCTGTCTGTCTGTCTGTCTGTCTATCCGTCCGTCTGTCTGTCTATCCGTCAATCTATCCATCCGTCTGTCTGTCTGTCTATCCGTCCGTCTGTCTGTCTATCCGTCAATCTATCCATCCGTCTGTTCGTCTGTCTATCCGTCCGTCCGTCTGTCTATCCATCTATCTATCTGTCCGTCCTTCCGTCCGTCTGTCTGTCTGTCTGTCTATCCGTCCGTCCGTCTGTCTATCCGTCCATCTGTCAGTCTATCCGTCAATCTATCCATCCGTCCGTCTGTCTGTCTGTCTATCCGTCCGTCTGTCTGTCTGCCTATCCGTCTATCTCTCCGTCCATCTGTCAGTCTATCCGTCAATCTATCCATCCGTCCGTCTGTCTCTCAGTACACTTCCCACATGTCTCCTGATCCTCCCAGACTCAAGTACAGTAAACCCTCCCAATACCGGACTAATTGCGGCAAGTCCTGTCCATCATTGGGAGGAGTCTGTTAATGAGAATATCCACTATTGAGAAGTCCGCTATTGAGAGGAAAGGGGGGGGGTTTACTGTACTGTATTTATTACTTTATGAGAAGTATAGTGTGTACAAGTGGACAGTTTACGGACACACACACAGACAGACAGACACACACACACACACACACACAGACAGACAGACAGACAGACAGACACACACAGACAGACAGACAGACACACACACACACACACACAGACAGACAGACAGACAGACAGACAGACACACACAGACAGGCAGAGAGACAGACAGAGAGATAGACGGACACACACACAGACAGGCAGAGAGACAGACACACACACAGACAGACAGAGAGATAGACAGACACCAGGGCCACAGGTGGAGGGGAGGAAGAGCCAGCTTTAACCATACGACAACCTGTATTGACCCAAGACGGTGCAGTAAAGGAGGCAGCCTCTTGTATGGTGCTCACCTGGCCTCCTGTAAACCTCCAGACCGGCCTCCACTACCTCCAGCTCTGGTCTACTGTACCTACAGACCGAACCTACTGTATCTCCAACCTCGGCCTCCACTACCTCCAACCCGGTATCCTCTACCTCCAACCCGGCCTCCACTACCTCCAACCCGCCCTCTCCCTCCCTCCAGTCCGGCCTCCACTAGCTCCAACCCG